AAAAAAAAAAAAAAAAAAAAACAATTCCGATTCTATGAAATTTCTCAGGAACAGGTGATGCAACATACCACCTACAGTGTGCTCAAAAGCAGGTGAGAAAGGAGACTTCCACTCTTCACTTTGTACTCTAGAACTGGCTACCCAGGCAAATGACTTTATTAAAAAGAGAAAGGCCTTATCTGGCTGGTGGACTTAAAGCCTATTTCTGTTTTCTCTTTATTCTCTTCTGTATTTAAAAAAATCTCAAAAATGCTACTTTCCACATAGCCGATGATACAATCCAAGCATCACATTCAGAAACCAGCAGAGAGAGCAGCCTAGGCCACAGGCTATCCACGAGCCTGGTCTGGAAAAGAAAGGAGCTGCCCTCATCCTCACATCCAAGTATGCACCCTGGTCTGTGATGAAACAGCAGACAAAATGTTAATCAAAATGAGGTTTGTGGTCATAAATCCGGTGCTAGTTAGGAAGAAAGAAATTTAATCATACAGGACAGACTTTTCTTTAACATGGGTTAAGATAAAGAACAATGGGAAACAATGGTACAACACACCAGAGTAACCAGGATTAATATGAAACTAAACCTTTTTTAGCTGGCCAGGTCTTGAATCATACGCGGTTACTATCTTTTTAATACTACTTAACTAGATGAAATGAACAAACTAAATGCAACTTGATCAGGGAGAATGGAGTTCAAGTCGCTGTGGCACTGGGATGTTGTGGGGTGTTCACTACATCAGGAAGTAATTACACAATATTTTCCAGAAGTGAAACAGTGAGTGTAACTGGAAAAAAATGTGGAAACATTTAGTTAGAACAGTAGAACACGGTATTAAAGACCCTTTTAAGGGGTTAACTCTGAAGGGAAATATGCAAATAATTAGATTTTAAAACATGTTTTTAGTTACAAATCTAGGATAAAAGTTAGAGGTATAATTCAGCGCCTGGGTGTTTTCTTGAAAACTTCTTTCTTGCAAAGCAATGAGTACAATGCTTGTATCACTGTGAAGAGCAGGCTGACAGCCAGGGACACTGCCCAGACACAAGCGCCAGAGTCCCTGGCTGTGTCTTCCTGCCTGCTGAGGGAGACCACGGTCACGCGCCTCTCAACATTCAGGCGGATTTAACCCACAACTTGGTTCAACACATGGTTTTCAGCTTTAAGGTCAAAATTCATTCATGCCACTAACTGTTCCTAGTTTATGTGAATTTGAAGAGTTTCATGAAATCTATTTCACTGATTTCATCTTGACCCCTGATTTCGCTCTTCCTGGGGGCAATGCCACATCGGTGGTTCGCCTCCATTTCTCCCATGTGTTTCTGGGCACATGCCATTCTACTGCAAACGAATACTACAAGGAGCAGAGAAGGTCTGAGTTGGACAGAAGTCAGCTGGGCAGGAAATTTTTAAAAGCAGAGTACAATAATTTATAATCTCAGTTAACATTTGATTTTTAAAAAAATCCCTAAGTGGTTGAAAAGTGGACACATGTTAATACAGACGCTAACCTGCAGCCATCTAGCTAAGTTTACTGAGGCCATTCCAGGCCAGGCCCGTTCTGCTGAGGACTGGACGGTGAGTGGAACAAAGATCCCAGCCCGCACAGGGGCCCAGTGAAGCCTAAGAAATGACTCTCTGGGACTCCCAACTCAGAGGCCCGAAGTTCCATCAACAAAGTGAGACATGCAGGGCAGAGGGGCATCAAAGCCCCACCTCAAGAAAGGCAGGAACATGAAGTGCCCCCTGGGGTGAAACTGCAGGGACTCTGGAAAGCAGAGGGATGACCAGCTTTGAGGCTAGAGAGAGCGGAAGCTCTTGGTGGCACACACGGAGTGGGGGCTGAACCATGCCCTACCTCCTATTTGTATGCACAAGTCCAAACTGCAAAGGACTATCTGGAGCTAAGGGAACAGAGCAAAGGAAGTCATGAGGTTGGGGCCCTGATCCGACAGGGTTAGTGTCCTTATTAAAGACACCAGAAAGCTTCCCCCACCTCCCCAGCCATGTGAGGACACTGAGAAGCAGGCCATCTGCAAGTCACAAAGACCCTCACCAGGACAGCACTGGCTCACACCTTGGTCTTGGACTTCCCAGCCTCCAGAACTGTGAGGACATAAATTTCCATGTCTACACTGCTCGGTCTACGAATGGGCTGAGAGAGGGAGATAAACCTATGGTATCAAGAGCTCTTCCAATACTGTTCTAGGGGTTTGAGTCATACAGGACATGTCTAGGAAGATGCCACCGGATACAGCAAGCAGTAAATGAGCTCTGGATTTTATTTTTTATATCTTCTTCCAAATACTGATACCAAAAAAAGCAAACAAGGGCTCCCTAACATAGACTCCACCCATGACACGGATGATGATCCTGGGAGCTAACCCCCACTTGGCATTCCAGCATTGAGAAAACACCCACAGTGCTCAGACCCCTCCCGGGCTTGCTTCATCTCAGAGGGGACAAACAGCATGACAAATTAAACTAGCATCTTGCTACTCACCAGACAAAACGCCTTTCTCTAAGCTGGTGGTTCTCATACCTAGTCAAGTTACAGTACATTTTACAGTCTAGGGTCTCTGCAGAACATCCTAAAGTAGTGACATATTTAAGTTGACCACATCAACCAGGAATAACTTCACTAACAGGAAATATGACAAGATGCTAGGTATAAGGCTCTATAAAGATTTACAAGACAACCCTAAGAAAATAGCATTTTTAAAACATTTGATTATTTTTTGTTTTGATTGCTAGCATTCTATAACAAACAATGGGCCATAAAAGTGTCAGAAAATTTTATGAGGAAAGATAAAAAGCTAAAATTAAGAGCACTTTATCTGTTATCTTCTTCTTCTTCTTGTGAGCTACTTAGAAAAAGCATAATTTTTGAGAAACAAAAGTAAGCCAGTAAGGTCTGGCTGTAGAATGGCTTGAGAAACACTCTTTCCAGTAAAAGCTGTTTTCAAGTAGTCACATGTAAACCTGGAATAACCCATGGGACCAGGAACCCCTCAAGAGTTCACAGGAGGATGCTCAGGTCACAGGGAAATCTCCCCACGCTAGAGCAGAAGGGCACCTCAGGGGCCCCGTGGGACAATTCCCCATGGCTCCCACTTACAGCTCGTCTTGGATGTTGTCTGTGAGTTTGAAAAGCTGCTCCTGTCCTTCTGCTTGGCTCTCAGAGTAGCGGGGAAGCAGCCCCTGGGGTCCCGTGCAGCAGCGTGGTTTCCGGACTCTCTGTGCTTGGGTCCTGGGGGGTAATTAATGGACAGGGAGTTAGAGAGGTGACGGGTTAAGATTTAGCAATTTCCTCACCTAGGATGAAAGCACTGCTTAATACAAGACACACTCTACACCAGATGAGCAGCACTCGTCAGCACACTACGGGATCGTGGTTACACTCCACAGTCAGCTTTTGTGAATTCAATGCTGCTTTAGCTACCTTAGCACCCGCTCGAGCTCTGTGATCCCTAGGTAAGTTCCCTAACCTTCCATTTCTCTTCTCTGTGAAATGGGACGATGGCACCTACTTCACAGGACTGCTGTGAAGATCAAACAGAATGAGGCCCACCAGTAGCAGCTCTTTCTATGGTCATCATTATAAAGGCTACCACTGGGTTGCACTCGTTTTTCTAGGAGTCTCTTTGGGCATGCCACGTGCAGACCTGCAACAGGTCAGGAAGAAGAGCAAGGAGCCTCGGTGAGAACCCACCATGCCTCCAGGCTTCTCCTGAGCTGTGCTCAGTTGCCAGGGTAGAGGGTGAGGGAGGTGGCGAGCGCGTGAGGAGAGGAGAGGCTCCATGGACCAGTCCCAGGCCATGGCTGGGACTCCGCCTGGCTTTCAGTCATGCCGCTCAGCTGCTGGTTACCCAAAGGAATCTGCTTTGCTTTGGCTTTCAGGGTCGGCTGTTGTTGTCTTTTTCCACAAACCATAGACAGGGTAATTGATAAATACTTTTTGGTGTTTTCCTAGAAACAGGAGTCCATATTTGTCTTGGAAAGGCTGTGCATATTTCAGATGACTGATAAGAGTGTACTGGGTCCGTCCTCGGCCTTGTACTTGGTGTACTTTTTATTATTTGTTCCTGGAACCCACTGAAGCAAAACATCCCTCTCTAGACATACCTCAAGGAGAGCAGGCTTCCACACTGAATCAGCACTTCAGAATCACACACTAGAGGTCATGTGGAGACTGGCAAGGGGCAGAGAGTGCCTGGTGGGGGGAAAACTGGGGTAGCAGCATGGGCAGGAACAGTCAGAACTGGGCACAGGCCACGCGACCGGCCAGCTGCAGGGCTAGGATCACGCCCAGGTCAGCCCGAAGCTCACCAGGCTGTGAGGTCCAAGGATAGACCCATATCCAGCTGATGCTCAGTAGGTGTCACAAAGCTAGCAACCCACTGATAATTTTCTAAAAGCTCTTTGGGGAGAAGTGTCAGTGATTGGCACTAATGAAATGGGGGAAAAAACCCTACAATTCTGTTCATATCAGATTCACATACTTCCACTGTCCCTAATTTGAATTCTTCCAAGAGTTATGCTTACTGTTGGCTAGTTTAGTTCCCCAGGACTGATGGCGAGTAGGGAGGCTGGTAAGAAGCCACTGGTACCCCACTGGTGGGAGGTCTGACAGCCAGTATCCTAGGGGGCTGGTTCATGGAGCCCTGCAAGGAAGGGAAGTGAGGAGAGGGGTTGGGTGCACTTTCCCGGGCAGCCCAACGAAAAACTCGCTGTCGTCCTAAACACTGCCGGCCAGGCTGAGAAAGGCTAGATTTGGACTCCTCTCAGCACCTCTCTAATCTACCAGGACCCCCACAGGCTCACCCTCCATACGTACATGACATTCAATTATTCCTCCCTCTCTGCCAGACCTAACACGTAACTCTGGGCTTGCACCGCATCATTACAATGGCCCCATACTCACTGTACTTCTAAACTTGTCCACCGCCATGGGAACATTTTCGAAGTTTTAGACCAAGTCGGCCACCTGCTCAAAGCGCATCTGTTTCGTGTGTCACCTGGATAATAATGTTCCTGCTGCCTGGCTCCCCTTGTCCCTGTCTCATTCGCTGCTGTCCTGGGACCCAGCACAGTGACCAGCTGGCGGCAGAGGGACACAGGGGTCAGGTGAATAAACGAGTGAACGAATGCATTGTGAGTGGAGGACGGTTTAGAGCCATTCACTGAGCTACAAAGAGAAGGTGATTCTCAAACTGGGTGAGTTTGGGAACTAGAGCTCTTGAACTTGGAAAGTTAATGATGTTCACGCAAAATGCAAACAGCTAGAGTTCCACCTTCCTAACAGAAAGGCCGAGGGTGTCTCTGTCCACCGACCTAAGCGAAGGAAGGGCATGAGGACACTGTTACAAACAAGCAACACCTCTGCGCGCGGGCGTCTTTTCTACACCGGAACACATCTTTTCAGTAGTACTCAGAGTTGGGGAAAATCATGCTCCCACGTGGGGAAAGTGACTGACAGCCGAAACCCCTCTGATGGGGTCCAAGGAAGCCAGAGAGGCCAAGGAAAGGTGGCCTGCCTCTGCAGCTGAGTGCCCAGAGTGGAATCTCCTAACAACAATGGAGGAGCTGAGATGTGAGTAGGGGCTGTCCAGTGCGAACAGTTCTTCTGGACTGAGGGACTGAGCAGCCTCCCTCAGAGGCCTCCTTAGATGTTATCTGCACGCCCAATACATTATCCTCCGCCCTGCAAACTACAAACCCAGGGAAACATCAGAAAACACAAAGCAGAGTAGCTCCCGTGGGTGTACACTCACCCTCTGCAATGTTCTCCTTATCTGTGTTTGCACAGGCTGCAAACTGCCTTCAGTTTCCAAGGTTCTCGCCTTGACCAGCCAAACACGAGTGCCAAGGGCCGGGTTGGATACGGTGCTCACGGCCACTGGGCAGAGGAGCTCGAGGTGGCACACAGGCCTCATTTTTCATGTCAACACAGGAGAAGTGGGAGCTGAGCTCGGCCACAGAACAAAACGTAGTTTTCTGTTTTAGCCTTATGTGTACAGCCCAAGAGAGTTTTTCACTCAATGTGGCCCAGGCAAGCCAGGCACATCCAAGCCATGGGCGGGGCTTGGCTTCAGGTTTCCAACAGCGTCGTGAGTTTCATCACACGCTGTGACTAACTTAGTATGTCCACTTGCCAATGACTGACTGTTCTAATGTCACTTTCACACATGTCCCAGTTAGCCTCTGAGCACCTGGAGGATGTGATTCCTTTTATTAAACTAGGCTTTAGGACTGAAGTCATTATTATTCTCATCTCAGGGCCCACTCTCACCACTGGCCTTTATTTATTTGAAGTAATAGAGCACACTTCTGAGAAACTACCATCCCCAGCACACCAGCTCCCTCGCTGACCACAGCTGGCTTGGTCTGTGTGGTTTTCTGTACCCAGACCCCTGACTAAGAAAGACTTTGTGATATTTGTTCTGTGCTTTTCTGTCTCACATAGTCTTGTCACATTTCAAAGCATGCTTTGGCACATTCGTGGTATAGACTTTCTTTTTTACTTGTTTGGGTTTTTTGCAAAAGGATGTCACGGTCACACTGCTAAGATGCAGCCATTTGTGGGTCCACGGTTATGACTCATTTGCTGGGCCTGCTGCATTAGTAATCCATGTGTGAACGTGCCATGATTGGTCCCCCTTCCCGATGACGGCACATGGGTTTTTTCCAGGTTTTGCTAACACACATGATGCTGCTATGAACATCCCCATGCAAGTCCACCGATGAGTCCTGGGTGTGTATCTAGCAGGCAGATGCTCAGTTCAGGGTATAAAAGTTCCCCTAATGATATAATTCAAACTATTTATTAAAGTGGCCAAACCACTTTTACCTTCCTACTGACAATGCATTTAAAAACTCTGAGCCATCCACACCCTTTCCGACACTCGGTACCATCTAGGATGCATCTCCGATACAGTCAGTGGCCACACGTGGCTGCTCAGCAACTGACATGTGGCCAGTGTAACTAAAGAAGCTAATTTCAAACTTAACTTACATGTAAGCTGTATCTTGTCCAACACTGGTCTAGATTTTGTTTCTATTCTTAAAACTTTGCTGCTGGAATGGTATCACATGGCATCGTACTGTTTTCCTGTCTCATCTTCTTTCAACCTACAGGATAATGCTGTCCAATAAAAACAGCAGAGCAGCTGTGAATCCTGCTGTTGGCACTGGAGCATACGGATCGACACCTGAACCACCTGGCTCCCTGCTCTGCCCTGGTCCCGGCCTCCTTGGTGGCCCTGCTTCATAGGCCACCTTCACTGTCAGGATGTGCTGCCCCTTGGGCCGGGTCCTGGTCCTACAATCCCGGGGATGACGGATTGTTAAACAAGAGGTGGTGAGACGCACTCACTTACCTCTCACTAGTTGACAGCATCTCTTACTAACACTCGACATAAAAGAGAGTTTAAACATGAGTCTGCTCGGTGCACACACAGCAACTCCGCCGCCACAAGCCTTTGTTTAGCCAAAGGTCTGTGGTGTATTTAATTGCTGCCAGCTGGGTGCTGTCGGCCATTTTAAGCCCTCAGCTGCTGTGGTTTATAAATTTCACAGCGTATAGAGAGAAGCAGTCCTTCCAGTCAACCAGCTAATCCAAAATGTCAGCACCAAACAAACTTGAGTTTTGAACTCCATGAAAACGTCAGGGGGGCGGCGATATGGCATGGAGGACGCATCCCCTGGGGAAGGGGCTGCTGATACAGTGGCTGATGCGCTGCAGATACTGGCCAGGGAGATACCCGTGCACAATCACCTGCATCTGGCCAGCGCTATCTACAGACACCGGAGGTCCCTGACCAAGGATCAGAGCAATGAAACAATCCAGGTCACTTTCTTCAAGCCACGACAAATCCAAACAAGGTGACACAAGGAGACAGAACCAGTCCCACTTGGTTGATCTTGCCTTTCAGCCAGGGGACAAAACTGTTGGTCGACCATGATTTGTTCTTAGCTTTTATGGCGAGTAATGGTGTCTTGGTTCTAACAGTTGAAGACAGATGCTGTGCCCACAGCCACACTCTCTAGTACAACTTAAGCTAAGCTATTAGTTGGCTGGAGTCTAACATGGCCAATGTCTATGAACCAGTGATGTCCACGAACAAATCAGTAACGAGTAGGAGGGAGTTTGTGTCAAACCTGTGGCTTCCTAGTACAGTAAGATGTTTATTCAACTGATGGCTACCATCTTCCTTAGGGGCTGCATGCACGGCCTCAACCAAGTGATAT